GTGTGTGTGTAGTGTGTGTGTGTGTGTGTCGTCGCGCGTCGTGTGTGTGTGTGTGTGTGTGTGTGTGTGTGTGTGTGTGTGTGTGTGTGTGTGTGTGTGTGTGTGTGTGGGTGTATGTATAGCTGTGTGTGTGTATATGCCTATGTGCTTCTGTTTGTGTGCTGCAATTCACATATGCGTTTACTCGGGGGGTGGGGGTGGGGTTGCTTGGGTTGTTTTAGGTTCACAGATGTGTTCATGGACACCAATGTCTATGCACACCGGAAGGGATGTTGTATACACGTTTTTATACAGGTTAAACTGTATTAGGGTTTTAGGGTGCCTAAATATATTTATATGTTGTATACACGTGTGCTTGTACTTCATGAAAACAAGCAATTTGCTGCGTCATATTTTGCGACTGCTAGCCTATGATACCAAGCCATATGATTTGTCACTGTCCTATTTTGAACAATATCATGAACAAGAATCCCAACTTTTCTCTTCCTGTCTCATTAACTCACTCGTGTGTCTTATTTCTGTGTGATATTTATTAACTCACTCGTGTGTCTTATTTCTGTGTGGTGTTTATTATCTCTTTCTTTTGTCTTACTTTTTTACCATGTTTGTTCAGATTCTGGGTGAGCGGATGATTGGCAAGGGCGCTGTTTCGTACCAGCTCAGCATCACTTCTGTGCTACCTACCTCCTACCAGCAGTCGCAGATTCAACTCAGTAAACAGATGGCCAGTGCTAAGCCTGGTGTGTACTTGATCCATTCACCTGTGTTATGTTGCTGCGGTGTGTACTTGATCCATTCACCTATGTTATGTTGCTGTGGTGTGTACTTGATTCATTCACCTATGTTATGTTGCTGTGGTGTGTACTTGATTCATTCACCTGTGTTATGTTGCTGTGGTGTGTACTTGATCCATTCACCTGTGTTATGTTGTTGCGGTGTGTACTTGATCCATTCACCTGTGTTATGTTGCTGTGGTGTGTACTTGATCCATTCACCTGTGTTATATTGCTGCGGTGTGTACTTGATCCATTCACCTGTGTTATGTTGCTGTGGTGTGTACTTGATTCATTCACCTGTGTTATGTTGCTGCGGTGTGTACTTGATCCATTCACCTGTGTTATGTTGCTGTGTACTGTCTAACAAATAAACGTACTCTCCGTGTGCATTTACGCGGACTCGCGGTACGGATCATCGAGATATTGAATCGCTTTGAATTTCTTACAAAGGATCCATATTCCCAAATAAATTAACGTATCTCGCAATAATTTAAACGTATGTACACTGCTTGTGAACTAACCCAAAAAAAAAACGTTTGTTCTCTGCGTCCATTCGCGTAGAGATCGCAATGCTGATCATCGAGGAGATGTTAAAACGCTTTGATTATGTGACACACCAAGGCCAGCGGATGATTCTGCAGTGCATGACTCCATGGCTAGACGCCCTGACAATCCAACTCACTCCGCCTATACCACACAACACCCCCGACTCTATGGCTGATTGTATGTGTATGCATATATACATAACTATATATATATGTATGTATATATATATGTGTGTGTGTGTGTGCCTGTGTGAGTGTTTGTGTCTGTGACTGTGATTGTGACTGTGTCTGTGTCTGTGTCTATGTGTATGTCTGTGTATGTATATGTGTATGTGTACGTATTTATGTATGTATCTATCTATGTATCTATCTATGTATCTATGTATCTATGTATCTATGTATCTATGTATGTATGTGTGTGTGTGTATGTATGTATGCATGTATGTATGCATGTATGTATATTTATGTATTTACATATATATATATA